CATTGCGTTAAACTCAAGATTGCTGCTTACCTCCCAGACTGCAAAACCATCATGTAGATCTTCCAAGGGTGACTTCTTCTGGGACCTTCCTCCAGATTGATCTGTATAAGAGAAAAGATTAAAACAAGGATTTGTCCATTCCTGAGAATATAACTTCTTTACAAAAAGAAGTTGTAGCAGTTCTATCGATCTATGGATGCGTGCAGGTTTGTGCACAGATTTTTCTCCTGTATTTGTTTGGAGAGAACTGTCTGCATCAGGCTGCTTGCTGTACAACCAGGTCTTTTCCCTCTCCTGCATGGGAGGGAGACAATCCCAAAGTGCCACGTTTGCCAAGCTTCCAAAACTTCTGCCATCACTTCCAGGCTGGCTCTGCTAGTTGCAGCCGTAACTGCTTTTTGCTTGGGCAAACTGATAGAGCACAGAAAAAGAAGGAGCTTGGAGACTCCAGAAAGTCCCTGAAAAAGGCAGAAGGAAGCCACAGTGTCACAAGACAGGGTGAGAAGAGGGCAAGGATTACTTCTGGTACCTCCAGACACTTCCACCCACACGTAGCCCCTGGGCAATGGTCTCCAAAGGACTCCCACTCTTGGAGCTGAGACAAGCCCCTTCTCCAGGCCACTGGCCCTCTTTGTCATGGGGCAGTGAAAATGAAGTGCCTTAGGCAGTTTTGATCCTGCAAGTCAAGTGTTTCTTTACTGGGCATAGTGGTTCACAGAAGATTAAACTCTGAACTAGCAGCCTGCACATTGAGTAGGAAAAGATGTTCTGAGCAGTAAAAAAACGTAAATTTCAAATTAAAATTTGAAATTCAGACAGCAACCCAGAGGGAGATGGTGTACGAAGAAGATGTGGCAGTTCTGAATTCAGCATGGAAACTGAGCGTTTTCAGAAAAGAAGAACCATACCCTTGGTTCTTGTAAAGTTTTCGCAACCGATCACGCAGGAAATGAAGCTTCCTATTTGCAGATATAGGGTTTAGCTATGTGCTTCTTCACAAAGAAGGAGAAGACACAGTCAGACAAAACAAGCTTGATAAACCAGTGAGTAGCTCATTTTTTTTTTCCTTTTTTGGCCTATAAATTTGTAGAGATATAGATTCACTCGGTGGGGAAGTCTATGTGCCTAAGGACAGTGGCAGTAGAGCTACTATCCAAGCAGAGATACTATCTTGAAGAATAATTGGGTCTTGTAACTAGCTTACCATGCAGGATGAGGCTCAGTGTGAGAGCAGAGAATTGAACTTGACAAATGATGTAGAATATTATTATCATTTTTTTGTACTAGAAACCTACTGGGTCTTGGTTTTGATGCTGCTCCAGGAGGTCAGCCTGAAAATGTATTCTGCTAAGGCTATAATCTAATAAGACATTAAATGCTTCACACTTAATCTAACCTCTCCAAATCTAAGCCACATCTTGCTCTATCAGATGCAGATGGCAGATGTTCATCATCCCTATCCTATCTCATTGTTTCTTTGTATTATTCAAGCATTTAATCAGTTAAAGGTGGTGCTTCATTATCATGTTATGGAGGGAAATGTTCTTTGGGATTGGTTCCTCTTTTTGGTGTGTCTCTTGAGCCACCAAATTAGAAAGCCTGTACTCCATCTCTCAACTAGAGCTGTCAGTTTTGTGGCTAGTCATGATGTGCTTTGCAATTTTTTTTAATGAGGTTTTAAATGAATAAAACTCATCAGTACCACTCTGGAACTGTATCATTCTCACACACAAGCAGAGCTGATCTCCTCTGCTTGGATAAATGAGACTTGCCACTTGGGTATTAGCAGAAGAGCTGCCACAGGGCAGTGGGCTTGAACTTCTCTGTGTGGAGACCCTCAAAGCAATAACACGGCAGGGGCACGATCCTACGACATGTTGTCAGTCCCCACTCCAGGCTATCACCCTTCTCTAGTTACACTGGAGCTCATCCCCAGAATGGCTGTCACTACAACTGTTGATTGAATTGTGCTGAAGTCAATGTTTCACCTGAAGTACTTTAAGCAGAGACAGTGAAAAAAACCCTTGAACAGAGAGAGATACAAGCACAGAACTTACTCTACCCAAAAGAAGTGTCTGTGCCCTCTTAGACGTACAGTCTTCATCTGGAGAAAGCTGAACTTAATAGCAGTCACAAGTTTCTCTTTCTTTGAACACTTATTTTCAGTGCTTATGCTACTCTTTTACTGCACATTCGTGTAGGTAAGAGCACATCCCACTGCTTTTGTCTTGTGGCTGTGCAGACCAACTCTATCTAACCGCAGAAAAGCTCAGAATCTTTGCAAGACTCTCTGTCTGGTTTTGGTGGAGAATGGAGACAATTGGACCCACAGGGTTCACAGAGAATTAAGCCTTTTTTTTTTCAAGCCCAGCAAATATTTTACCTTGAAAGTTCTGCAGGGTTGAAAAAAACTCATCAGTTAGGAGGCAAGCAATTCTGAGAGGTGCTTCTAGTGCTCAGTTGTTACAGAAGAGGAAAAGGTGCTCAAAGCGAGGTTTAATTTTGGAAGGAACTGTCCTTCCCAGTCATGTACTGAAAGAAGTCATGTAGTCACTACCACATGAAAAGAGATGTTTGGGTGAAACTATGAGCTCAGAGTCTTACATACAGCATTTGGTTTACACCTGCATATTTTCCTTCAGCCTTCTTGGTAACTCAAGAGAAGTGTGTACTTTCATGCTTGCTCCCCAGGATGTCTTTGGTGTTTGTGCACAGGCTGCTCTGTAGTTTTGCCTTTCCACAGACTCCTTCTGGAAAGGCAAAGTTAAAGAGGTAGAGCCATTGGGAGGAAAGCTGGGGCACCTTTCATGCAACACCTGCTATCAGGATATGGGCTATTCTTTTTCTTCATTTAAGTTTCAGTTTTACCCTGTGCCACACTGTACTTCTCTCTCCATGAAGTGGCCTAGATGCTGCTGACACATACTTCAAAGATGACTGCAAGTCATTAAGCAGTTTCTTCTGCTATCTGACAAAGACTGCCTGCTGTTTGTGAGGAGGAGGAGAGTGAGGGCAGGGACAGCACCACGCTTACTTATTCAGACATTTCAAAAGGGAAACCTTGTCTTGGACCATAAGAAGGGAAAGGGAACTTTGATGGTCATTCAGCTTTGAGATGAAAGGCTCCATTAATGCACAGATACTCTTCTAACCTGTAGTTATCAAATGTTCTTATTTCTGTGAACAAACTTTGTCCAAACCCCCTTTAGGACTCAGGAGACTCACTGAGCTGTGAGAACTGCCATCCCTAAACAATCCAGGGAAGTGACTCAGGAGGCTCTTTGCTTGAATTGCTGGAAGATGGCAAGGTCTGACCATTGCACCCAGACCCTGCTACAGCTAAAGGTGACACACAGCAGGTAACAGGCAGTACTCCAAAGCTAGCACAGCTTCTCTCAAAGCAGCTGAAACACAGAAATCTGAAAAACATGATTCAGAGCTACATCCTCATTACAAGAATCTCTGATGTTGATGCAAGTGCAGCTTTGTTAAAAATTACAGAGACATGAGACTCACAACATTACAACTATTAAGAAAATAAAATTTTTCCCCTCCTAGCTGTAACCCCATTTTCTCTGCAAGAACTCTTGCCCAGGGTGCAGGTATTTGGCCTGGGGCTTGGCCACACTTCACTGTATCCAGCTTCTTGGAGGCTCAGAACATAACCAGTCCTCCGTGAGGAACAAGAGTAGCCTCTTACTAGACTGCTCATATATTTATATGCTTTTGCACAAGTACACAGGATAAATTAGAAGGGAATGAGGCCACTGAAGTGGCCTCATTATAATTTCTACCTTAGATTTGCATCAGTTGCCTGCTTTTGCATAAATTGTTTTAACACTCTGTAATCAATAAAGTTTGTTCAAGAAGATTATTTGTATTATATGTATCTCCACTGAGATAAAGACCCAGATTCAAACTAGATCCTCTGGATCCTGAATGGTGTGTCATTACATATCAGGAAACCATCCCTTCCTCAAACAGCTGAGCAGGCTGATAGGAGCTTAAGACAGTTTAGAAATTTCAGGGGCTCTATCTCAGGGTGGCCCACGATGAGTTTCCACTGAAAGGCAGATTGGGCGCCTTCCCCTGTGTCACTCCAGCCACAGGCTGAGTTTCTTCAGTGACATTTAGTCTTGCAGAACTCAAACCCAGGGTGAATGAAGTGGTGGTTTTGAGAATGTGGTCTCTGCAGAAGGCATCTGCAATCACACAGAGTAGATCTTGCCACTGAAGCAAGTACGTGTTGGGGCTGAGAGCAGGAAGGGAGCCAACGTGGCTGTGCTGCGGGAGCACGCCGGGGCGCTGCACCCCCTGCAGTCTGCTGGCCTGGGAGCTGCTGTGCTCTGTGTCCACAGAACAAACATCAAATTGCCTTTGTCACGGCATCAAATTGCCAGGAAAATGCAGATTTCAACCCCGTCAGCCTGCTGTGAACAGCCACCAGTCTGCCATGGTGTGCCTGACAAGAGCAGTCATGATGGCACAGGAAGAAAGAGCAGCCCTTCGACCAGGCTGCAGATGGCTCCCTGCCAGCCAGGACGGTGCCACAAAAGATGGAGGTGTTTAGAGGCTGTGCTGAGAGCAACTGCCACCTTTTATACCATCTGCTAAGTAGTTTGGTCTTCCTCCAGGACTGTGCAGCACTTCCACCCCAGAGCTACCCACGACCAGCACGCTCCCATGGCCTGTCCCTGACCCAGCCCCTGTAAAAGCCAGACCAGCGCTGCCGACTGGCTGCTCTGCAACACCCAGGCCAGCAGGTGCACCAGGTGGGTGTGTTCAGGACTGTGCACAGGTCACTTCTGCACCTCCAGAGACCTGATTCCCAGGGGCACTACAGCACCCAGGAAGTCACAGAAAGCCTGGACAGGCAGCAGTCGGTTGTGTTCCACCCATGTTTCATTCCCCTCACTGCTCTGCTGGGGCTTCCTCTGCTTTAACACACTTTTCTTCCTCTGCTTTAACACATATTTTCTTCCTCTCCAGACAAACACACCATGGAAAACCAAACCACAAACTTCATTGATTTGGCATCAACAACAGAATTTGACTACGGCGACTCAGCGCCATGCTCAGGGACAGAGGAAAAGCACTTTGCAGCACAACTCCTGCCACCCCTCTATTCTTTGGTGGTGATATTTGGCCTCACAGGCAACCTGCTCGTTGTCCTCATCCTGGTAAAATACAAGAGGCTGAAGAGCATGACAGACATCTACCTGCTCAATCTGGCAATTTCTGATTTGCTGTTTGTATTTTCTCTCCCCTTTTGGGCTTATTACGCTGCTCACGACTGGATTTTTGGGGATGCTCTGTGCAAAATGCTCTCGGGTGTCTACCTGCTTGGCTTCTACAGCGGCATCTTCTTCATCATCCTGCTGACCCTGGACAGGTACCTGGCCATCGTGCACGCAGTGTTTGCTCTGAAAGCCAGGACAGTCACCTACGGCCTCCTCACCAGCACTGTCACCTGGGCTGTGGCTCTTTTTGCCTCTGTTCCTGGGATCATATTCCACAGAACTCAGAAGGAGAATTCACGTTACACTTGCAGTGTCCACTATCCGAGCGATACCACAATAAATTGGAAGAACTTTCTTATTTTAAAGATGAACATCCTGGGACTTATTGTTCCAATGATCATCATGATTTTCAGTTACTCACAAATTCTGAAAACGTTACTGAGATGCAAGAATGAGAAGAAACAGAAGGCAGTCAGACTTATTTTCATGATCATGATTTTTTACTTCATCTTCTGGACGCCGTTCCATATTTCTTCTTTTTTGCACACTTTCCAAAATTCACTTTTCCACACAAATTGTGACATCAAAGGTCAATTGGAGAAAGCAATCCAAGTGACAGAAACAGTATCCATGATCCACTGTTGCATCAATCCAGTGATCTATGCATTTGTTGGAGAAAAATTTAGGAAATATCTTTATGCCTTTTTCCGAAAGCACGTTGCAGCCCACCTCTGCAAAAAGTGTCCAAATCTTTACCATGAAAAATTAGAAAGAGTTAATTCCGCATTCACACCATCCACTGCAGAGCACGACATCTCTACAGGACTGTAAAACACAGCAGCACTTTTGTTAGGAAATGCTGCACTGCCTGCTTTGCCTGAAGGACTGCCTGGCACCAGCCGCTCCTGAAAGCTGCCTGACCCTCAGCTCCTGTGGTGAACTGTTCCCTGGGTGACAGCATTGCCCACTCCCAAACTAAGAGAACCCAAACGAAGGGTGAGCTCTCCAGGAAACACCAACACCATAGCTGCACCGCATCAGAATTTGACTGGGGCCCAGAAGAGTATGATTCTGTTTTTTTCACTCAAATTCTACCCAACGAACAAATGCCAGTGAGATTTCCCTGAGGGCAATGAAGTTTTGAAGAGACTAGGGAGTAATATGTCACCTCACAAGAGCCATTTACTCTCTATGGACACTGTAAGATAAACACTGGGAAGAAGCTTTGAGAACTGAAGTACCTGCTTATTACTCAGCATTACTGGAGCACCTTCTGGCAGTGACTGCAGTCTTTCTGCAACACAGTCAGGCATTTGATTGGGGGATGCTTTTAGTTCTCTGAATTTCCCCCTCCCAGTCCTTATTTTCCCTACTGTTTCATTTTTTACAGAAAAAAAAAAAAAAAAAGGAATCTGAAGATGAATATGAGATATAATAAAATAATATCTCTGCTCTGATGGGAGAATTAACTGATTGTTCTCTTGCTGGGCCCATTTCACTCAGGAATGAATATGTTAGCTAATAGTGTAGTTATTTTAAAACATAGCCCTTTTGACTGCAGACTAAGCTACAGTATTTTGATTTTAGCTCTTTAATTTTATGCCTGCCATGTCACTGTACAGCTGCTGACATTTTCCAAGGTGGGCTTTTAATCTGCTACACTGTGATTTTTTTTGAGTGCAGTTTGGCAAATAGCTGCACACACCGAGTCTACTGACTGCACAAGAAAACAATGTACC